GTTCTGACAAAAAAAAAAAAAAAAAAAAAAAAAAAAATTAAAGAACTGGAATGCATTTCAGTGTGCTAGCTCAACATGAAAGCCCTGAGTTCATTTCCCAGTACTATTAACAGCAACAACAACAAAATATCAAAACACATAAAATGAAACAACAAAACAAAACACAAGCTGAGGCCTGAGTTTAATACTCAACACCAAACAACAAAACCCTCCTATATTTGGAGGAATTTAGAATTTAACAAGAAAAATTTTTATCAATTAAAAAGAAAAAGAAAAAAAAAAGCTTTACAGAACATGTTCTTGTGAGAAGAAACTGACTAGTTCTTATGATGTAAGATATTTGTCAAGTTTGCTGATTTTCAAAGGAAGAAAAAATAACCCAACTTCTGGATTTGAAAAATAAATTTAACAAGGACAAAATTCTGTACATTAATTTCCTTGTAGAATTCAAGACTCAGTAAACATCTGAGTACCATTAGCTTAATAATGATACTGCATACTCCTTTTCAGAGGTTAGACAAATAAAATGTGTTAAAAGTGCATATAATGAAAATATGTAGTAACATTACAAAACAATTGCAATAATTTAGAAAAACTTTTTAAAATAGGAAACCATAAAATTAGCCTTGATATAGATTACGTATTACAAGACTTATTTGTTTATGCAGAGATATTTAAGGGAGATAGCTCTAGTTAAAAGTGAAAATTTACTCTGTCTTTAAAAAATATAAAGAGACTTAAAAGAAACAACATCTTGTCTTTGTTAGCAGAACCTGGAATAGTGTGATTCAGCATTTATTTTTTGGAGATAATCAGAAAGAAAACTGCGTGTTGGTATAATGTCCTAACCATCAACTTATTTATAGCTTTTCTCCAAAACAATTTATACAGTAGTATCCTAGTCTCTTTAGTTAGTTCTTAAGTATATGAAAGAAAAGTTTGAGAATTACACTATTTAGGTTGACTTTGAATTGTCTTTCTGTTGTCTTTCTTTCTAGAATGATTTGAAGGAGAAACAGAAGATTCTTGTTGAACAGCTCCTGTCTTTGTTAAACAGTTCTCCTGGGCCTCCTACTCGCAAACTCCTTGCAAAGAATCTAGCCATACTTTATAGTATTGGAGACACATTCTCTGCTTATGAAACAATTGATAAATGTAATGATCTTATTCGTAGCAAAGATGACTCTCCAAGTTATCTTCCCACCAAACTGTAAGTTGAACATTAAAAATGGATAGAAGCCAGGTGTGATGGGACACATCCGTAATTCCAGGATTTAGGAATCTGAGGCAGAAGGATTGCCAAGAGTTCAAGATTTAAAAGAAAAAAAAAAAAAAAAAGCTAAGCAGAAAGCAGACTATTGCTTAATTATGTGATTTTTTTTTTAATCAAGTACACAGCCTACCTGACAGTTATTTTCAAGCAGCACACATAGTCAGTTTAACACTTTCATTACTTTTTTTTTTTAAGTACCATTTTTCATTGATTGAAAAAGTCTTTCGGAAATGTGTTAGATATATTTGATGTGTAGATTTTGGGATTCAAGACATTTTAAGATTTTAGTTTTGAACTTAGCAGTTAACTGGTAGGATTTTCACTCTGACTAACTATATATGCTGATACTGAACTAAGCAACTGCACTGAAGATAGCAATGTGTAATACTAGGGTCTTGCTTGGAATGCCTGTCATTCTGGTCTTCTAAATACGTACTCCTTGTCATGTCATACCAATTACTGCTGTACTGTCTGTCAAGTAAATGTTTGTTTTAAAAAAATAGGGTAATAAATGAAAACAAGAGATAAGAAAAAAAAA